ATGCAAATAATATTTTTATAGTTTACTGCTATCGACGAAGAAGGAGAAAGTATTGCTGTAGCTGGTAAAACTGGTTTGGCGCATTATTCAATGTTATCACGAAAGTGGAAACTATTTGGCAATGAATATCAAGAACGAGATTTTGTTGTAACAGGTGGACTTTTATGGTATCATGGGTACTTGATAACTAGTAGTTACTCTATACCAGAAAATGAAGACGAATTAAGATTATATCCAAGAAATGTCAGATTAGATAACAATTACGTAAAATCTATTAAAATGACTTCACAAATTCTACTATTAAACATTTTTAAAAATCTTCTTTTAGTGTTTTGTGCTAATTCTCAAATCAGAATATATAACATGATCTTAAGTGAAGAAACTGGTAAGTTTAACATATAATCTAAATTAAAATATAATTTATTGATATATTAGATAATTTTTCTTAGTTTTCCGAGGCCTTGTATAAAATATAAACATTTAATAGAAAAATTATAAAATATGTAATACAATAATATTTTAATTTAGTCCATCCATTATTGATCTTTTATTATATACATACATTTATTAAATCATTTCTAATATGGGTGCACTGATTCGTAATCAATTTAATAGTTAGGTAATGAAATATCGATGAGCCTATTTCAACTTAAGCTATCCCAGTTGATTATAAATTAATTTAATTATAAATAATTGAATTATGGGTATTAATAGCAATGAGAACATAAAAATAATATTATATAGCTAATACCTAATCAATTATACATAAAAAAGTACATAAAAATGCAAAACAAGTGCATTAATATTTAATAATAGATATAAAAATTTCATGTAAGTTCTTCGATGGTGTTATATCTCTCCACGTATTTACAATTTTAAAAAAATTTCAAATGTATGTGAATCATTAATATTTTTTATTAATCACCCATTTCCAATAAAAAATAAAAAATTGTATATTTAACATAGTATTGACAGGTATATCTTACTGATTTCTATACACTTTAAATTTAGTTTACAAATCATGGCAACAATTACATCATAATAACTTTCATTCGATTTCCTTTTTACTATTATTATTTTTTTAACCCAAAATAAATAAATAATTAATAATATTAATGATAATAATAACGATATTATTTGAAATATTAAAAAGATAAATCTTCTTTCATAAAATAGAAAAATTAAATCGTTTTAAAAATATCGATAATTTAATATTTACAATTATATTTAAAGACAATCGAAAATTACGTGGTGAGTTTTATAATAAGTATATTTAGAAATATTTATAGGTAGTTTACGATTATAAACAGACAGCTACTAAGATTATTGTCAATTTTTTTCATCATTCAGATAATTGAATAATTAATAGTGATTTATATCTCTCTAACTTTTACAAAATTATTCTTGTTCGTGAATGTAAGAATACTCTCAGCTCATTAGACATCTGGAAAACTCGAGATAAGTGTTCCGGAAAAAGTAAACCCTTGATTATCTAAAGAAAAACAATTCATAAACACATCCGGCGAGAATATGCGATCAAGTGTCTAACGAAACACGTCATAAAACTAATGGGACGAGAAATTCGACGCGACCACGCCATAAAGTATCCATCGCCAACAAGCCATAATACTTCTGGCATAATCAAGTCATACAAATATAAGCAGAAATCACGTCCTTTGATATCCGAAAAAGAGATATTAAAGGCAACACTGTACGCATACGCTGTTGTCAAACCCAGCTACACGTGGCTCGGATAGTGAAGCGAGAACGCGCCAAAGAATTCCCCCTCATGGTGGGGATGCAAGTAAGAAACTACCCAGTTAATATTCGATAGGAATATATGACTACAAAATCATATATCCTCTTTATAAAATTGTATCTCATTATAATTAAGAACTTCTACGTACATCGTTCAATATTTTTCGTGCTATATTTTTTAATAGTATGAACAAATTTATTGATTTTATATTGAAGCTTCTTCTAATCGACTCCCAAAATGAATTTAAGTAATATGCCAATAAAAATATAAATATTGATAAAATACATATTATTAATATAAAAAAAATTATATCAGTTTATACAAGTATATCTATAAAATTGACGTAAATTTTTCTATTTGACTATGTTAATTTTTTAAAATTGTTATTTCCGAAAATTATATTAATTTTTAGAGTGCAGGTGTTGGGAATAATGTGAATGAGTATATTTGATTCGTATATTTTACCTTCTGTTTATTTATTATTATAAATTCTTTCTAGCAGAATTAATAATAACATTAAATTATCAATCTCAATAAAAAAATACCCATATAAAAATATATAAATGTAAAATAAATTCAATAAACAGAGAACATAAACGCTCTTTCTAAGTAAAAAGTTCAGTGAGTCTAATATATATTAATTAAAAAAAAATTCAATTCTAGACAGTTTTTAAGAAATATATTTCATACGTAGTTTTTATTGGATTAACTTTATCCATAAGATATATCCATGAGAATAGATACTGAAAATTTTTTTTCTAAAAATTCCCATTCTTTTTTCTTTATATTTTATCAAAACTATTGAAGTATAGTATTATTTTTCTTAAATGATGTAATAAATATCATTCATTGGCTTCATTATTTTTAATTATACCACAATTTTTTAAATTTTATTACAAAATAATAAATCATTTAAAGTAATAATAATATTGAAATATTATATAATTTAAATATGAATTTATAAAATTTGAATGAAAACTGTCAATTTTATAGTTCCATATTTTCATAAAAGTTTAATTTTTTCTTTTATATATCATAAAAAGGCTAAATAGTCGGTGTTCTGGCATTTGTTTTCATACAATCATCATCGGATATAAACATTAATATGTGTTATTACTTAACATTTGTAAATTTTTTAAAAATAATTTTCATCGTTTATTCTATAATAATATTTCGAATGTTTTTGTTGAAAGGCAAATGATAGAATATATTTATTATATTTGGCACTCAAATATTGTAATTTAATATTTGATAAACAAGAAAAACAGTCTCTTTTGTTCTTGATATTTGTGACACTCTGTCTGTACTTGTGTTGATTCCTATTCAAGCCTTGATTCTTCTAAAAATTTAGTTACTATCTATTATCTGCAGTTAATTTTAAAAATATTTATGTCTGCATATAAGTTAGTAAAAGGTTAAAAACTGTTATATAATTACATTATTATATTTGTAATATAAGCATTTTTTATATATTTAATATGATAAAAATTTATTTAAGTAACTTTATATAATGCTGTTTGGTAAAAATACTTCATGTTTAATTTTTTACTTATTAAACTTAATAAATATTTATAATTATAAACATTTTTGTTTGTGTATTTATCATTGTTTGGCAATAAATTTAAATATTTTTTGGTATAAATTTTTATTTTAATAATTTCGAAAGATTTTTTTTTTTTTAAAGAAATCATTAATAATATTCTATATAAATTATAAATAAATAAAAATATTACAATATTTTATTCAATTTTAAAATTTATAAAATGCAATGTTTTTGTAAATTAAATGCCTTTATATTCTTTTAATCAAATATTTTCATGTAATACAATATATATATATATATATATATATATATTACATTATAAATTTTTTAAAATATAATAAATAAATCCAACATGTATAAAAGATATGTATTCTTTATTTTTATACTAATGAATTTTAACTGTTTTCATGAGTTATATGTAATTAAAAAATTATTATTATATAAATACATTAGATAATATAAAATATGAAATTGCTAATATATTTATTAAAATATAATATAAATTTATTTTTAAAAATAAATTAACAAATAAACTATAAGCTAGTGCTCCAATTAAAATTTCTTTATAAATAATTTGTATAAGTGTTCATTTAATTTTATTAATATTTAGAAATAAAATATATTTTTTAATATAAATTAATGTAATTGATTACTTTTACCATTCGATTTTAATTTTTATTTTGACAACTTTTTAAAATCTGAATCAATATATTATTTATTCCTTTATATTTAATTTTTTTTATATAATAAAACTATTTGTTACATGTATTAATTTTTTTTTCAATATTCTATTATTTTAGTAAATCCATAATGAGATTTAAATATATAAAAAATTAACAAATAAAATAATAACTTATAATTAAAAATATGTAATGTATATAATAATATTTGGCTATAAACAAGATTATCAATTTACTAAATACATATATTTAAAATGATGGTAATTATTAATTTATTATAATTGTTTTAAAATATATCAAAATATTTAATACATTTCCCAAAATGTATTGAAACTCACCTGTTTATGTAAAAATGAGTTCATTTTATGAATATTTTATATATAACTTTTAATTGTAGTAATCAAATTCGATTGTAGTATCATTCTATAAATATATTTTAACAACAATTTTTATAACATTTTTATTATTTCAAAAATTATTGATAAAACCATTAATAAAAGGTACACAAATATTCAAAATTATTCAAAATTAATGACATTTTCAAACTTTAATGATATTTTGTGTAACTATATTACTTCAAATTATGAATTATAGTTTCGAGCTTTACGACATTTATTTAAATACTTTCATTTATAATTACGAGTTTCAACGATTAAATTTAAATTCTGAATTATATTATGAATTAAAAGAATATTTTTATTAATAATAAAAATGAATAAAATGTAAATTATTTGTATATAATTTAAAAAATATATATTAATTATTTAAATCCAATAATTAGATTATTTTATTTATTAAAAATGATTATAAATAAATCATATAAAAAAATGCAAAAAATTTGTAATATTTATTTCAAATTCAATGGTAAATAATTTTATTTTAGAAGTATAATTGAAAGTGTAAAAATTATTATAAATTATAAATAGAGAAAATTTTATAATTAGATAAATATGTCATGGTAGTAATTATTCAATATTCATTTGTTATTGCTATATTCTCTCCAAGGGAACGGAAAAAATAACAGTCAGTGCAGTGAAAATCGTCATCAACGCTTTTTGGGATTCGATTAAGCTTATTTGATGTAATAAAGATTTGAAGTAACATTGAAAGAATAAAGACTAGGTGAAAAATCAATCGATTTTTTCAAAAAGTACATAGGTGTCCAAAAATTATGAGGGAGATCGTTCACCTCCAGGCTGGACAATGTGGCAATCAAATTGGAGCAAAAGTTAGAGATTTATCCATTTAATTAAGACATTTTTAATGGTTTCAAAAGTAAAAATTTAAAAAATATTCTTTCTACTTCTGAAGAAATTTTTGTGTAAATTAATTTCATATCTAATTTCATGTCAATAATTAACATTTAAAAAATTTATATACATGATTACGGCATTAATAATACTAATTTGGAACTCAAATGTTATTAATTAACAATTATTTATTAGTTTTGGGAAGTCATATCAGATGAACACGGTATTGACCCTACTGGTGGCTACCATGGAGATTCCGATCTTCAGTTAGAACGAATTAATGTTTATTATAATGAAGCGACTGGCGGAAAATATGTTCCAAGAGCGATCCTCGTTGATCTTGAACCTGGAACAATGGATGCTGTGCGTTCAGGACCATTTGGACAGATTTTTCGTCCAGATAATTTTGTTTTTGGTCAGAGTGGAGCCGGAAATAATTGGGCTAAAGGTCATTACACCGAAGGTGCTGAATTGGTTGATTCAGTTCTTGATGTCGTACGGAAAGAAGCTGAGAGCTGTGATTGCCTTCAGGTGGCATCTTTTTTTGTATTCATTTTTCTCTATTTATCTACATTATAATACTACATACAGATTTTACATTAACAAACATGTACATGTATGGTTAATAAAATTATATATTTATATTAATAATTAATCAATTATTAATATTTTCAAATTATTCTATATAATAAAAAAACTAAATAGGATGTATTGAGTTAATTACATCAAAAATTCTAAATCTCTAATTTCAATTAAAATTAAATAACCATGTAAATAGTTCATTTATTGAATCTTATATTTTTCGTTTATATCTGATATTTTATTTATAAATAGATATTTTTTAATTAAGAAAATCCTTATGTTTATTTATTTTCATTTTAAACGTTCATCCATTAGTATATTTTAAAATGTTTTATACTTAGTTGGATTATAAAATTACCCATTAGCTTTTTAATCTTTATAACATAATTTAAAAATTAGAAAATGAATCATTATTGCTGACTTTTCTTTATAAATTGTGTAAAATTATATAAATATTATATTTAAAAAAAGTTATTACTTAATTAATATATAATTATACAGGGTTTTCAATTAACACACTCATTGGGAGGTGGTACAGGTGCTGGTATGGGCACTCTCTTGATTTCTAAAATTCGTGAAGAATATCCAGATCGCATAATGATGACCTTTAGTGTTGTTCCATCTCCTAAAGTTTCTGATACGGTGGTCGAGCCATATAACTGTACACTTTCTGTGCATCAACTTGTCGAGAATACAGATGAGTCATATTGTATTGACAACGAGGCACTTTATGATATTTGCTTTAGAACGCTAAAGTTAACAACACCGACGTACGGCGATCTTAATCATCTAGTTTGCGCAACTTTAAGTGGTGTTACTACTTGCCTAAGGTTTCCTGGTCAGCTAAATGCTGATCTTAGAAAGCTTGCTGTTAATATGGTGCCTTTTCCAAGGCTACATTTTTTCATACCTGGATTTGCGCCACTTACATCAAGGTCATATTTCTTTATTTTTTATTTTTATTTATATCATTCGCCATTTTAAATCTTGTACAAAGTTTTTAGTAATGACTAAAAATATAAAATTTCAGTTGATAATATTTGATAATAAATTGTGCTATATAAAAATAATTTTACAATTATAAATTAAAGTAAAAAATGAACTACTCATCGAATGCAAATAATTTCAGAGGTTCGCAACAATATAGATCATTAACCGTGCCTGAGTTAACTCAACAGATGTTTGATGCGAAAAATATGATGGCTGCGTGTGATCCACGAAACGGCCGTTATTTGACAGTAGCGGCTGTTTTTCGTGGTCGGATGTCAATGAAAGAAGTTGATGAACAAATGTTGAATATTCAAAATAAGAATAGTAGCTATTTTGTGGAGTGGATTCCGAGTAATGTTAAGACAGCAGTATGTGATATTCCACCGCGTGGACTTAAGATGTCTGCCACATTCATAGGTAACTCCACAGCAATTCAAGAACTGTTCAAACGCGTGTCTGAACAATTTACAGCTATGTTTAGACGAAAAGCATTTTTGCATTGGTATACTGGTGAAGGTATGTTTAATTAAATTATCTATATATTTATTAAACATATTGGTAGATTTTTCTATTTAACAAAAAAATTTGTAAGAAAATATTTGTTCTGAATTTAAAATTAAAAATTAAAATTCAATTCATAATTTTTTAAATTATAATTCATATTCATAAAATTATATTTATAAATTTTTTTAAATTAATAGTTTAAAAAATTAAAAAAAAATTGTTTTTAAAAATAAATAATAAATTTAATAAGAGCAACTGATTATTAATATAATTAAAAGTAGAAAATCTGTAAAAATGTAAGTATTCAGGAATAAAAATTATATTCAGCACACTTTGAATAATATAATAGTTTTATGTAAATTACAGGAATGGATGAAATGGAGTTTACAGAAGCTGAAAGTAATATGAATGATCTGGTAAGTGAATATCAACAATATCAAGAAGCTTCTACCGAAGAAGATGGAGAATTTGATGATGAAGAAGGTGAAAATGAAGAAAAATAAAGAAAAATTTTTAGTTGTACCATTACTTCAATAAAGTTGTCAACTCATATTTTCAAAAATAGTAGTTTAGTATCAAGCAACGAGAATGTGTATTTGTTAAAAGAGTTAATTTTAAAGTTTTCCATTTTTGTATTTTAGTTATAAAAAAATCTGTATCGGTCATCTTCAAGTTGTTATTGTTCTACGTTACTGTTATTTGTTATAATCAAACCTTCTTAATGGAAAGATGAATTGTAAATCTAAATATAAAGTATATAAATAGTAGATTCCTATTGTTTCATGAGTGCAGGATTTGTAATTTTATATTTTTTTATTAAAAGGATTGTTAGTCTACTTTTATCTGTATCCAAGTGCATTTCATCTAGTTTTAAATGCATTAAAATTATTTCTTTGAATTATTACATTTCATATCATATAAACATTTTTATATGTCAATACGGATTGTTTAATGCATATAAAAACTAAACATTATATTAAATTATAGTAACAAAAATACCAAAAAAAAAATTTTAATCTATATAATGAAAACAATTTTTATTTTAAATGTTTTTTTATTTATTTTAGTTTTTGAATTAAATTTTTTATGCAAACCATTTTTAGGAAAGTTAATAAACAATTTTATTTATAATATTCAATTACAAGATTTAAATCTGATATTAATACTAGAAATATAGTTATATAGAATTTTAGTTAGCACTAATCAATCGTAGATATTTTGAAAATTTACATGAAAATATTTTAAAAATATTTATACATATACATATATTATGAAAAGTCGTAGCTTCCATTCATACGAATACTAATCTTGTAAATTACTCTGTCATCTAAATACGCAGCACATCCGGAATACGCACAACTATATTGTGATGCATGGTCATGCTAGTGATATAATTGTAAAACTGAAATATACTAGATTATAATAACAGTGAAATTATAATTAATTGAAATTCTATAACAATGAATAATTGCACTAAATTATGTGTTTTATGAGATAATATTTCATTTATTGTTATAACTAATTATTATTAAAATTGTTAATAGAAATAACTAAAAAGTTATAAATATACAAAAAAAAACAGGCTTAGTAAAACAAACCCTTATATAAATAAATTTAAATTGTGAACAAAAAATGTATGTTATAAATTAAATAAACAATATTTAAAATACGTAATACAATTTCATGAATATTTAAAATTTATTTTTATACATGGAGTTTATTTTAATTTCAGAAGGTGACATAAATATATTTATTTAAAAGTATTATTTATTTATAAAATAAAACTATTTAATTTTCTTATTAAAAAAGTTGTATCTTTGTATTCAAGTACTAATTATTGTTGAAGATTGAATTTTAATATCATTAATTATTTGAACCTATAGAAGTCAATTATTTGTTATTTTTAATATTAATATAGCAATTTCACATATTAAATTTATGAAAAAAATTAATAAATATTTGTCAACTTTTTAATTTACTGTTGAATTCAATTATTCAATGTATATTAAAATTACATCTGATTAATATTTTAAAAAGTTTTAGTGGATCGACTGTTTACAAGCAATAGATTAATCAAGTATAAAAAATTATAATGAGGATAACCTTATATTAATAGGTATAGGCAATTCGAATAGAATATAATAGAAACAGTGTTTCGCAATTAACTTATGTCTTCTTTTATTCAATCATTGACTTATTGAATCGACCTTGTTCATCAAGGTGGTGAGATTACAGATACATCAATGCATTCATCCTTGTATTCATTCCTTTCTAAGTTTCTCGTGTTTTTTTTCTTTTTTTTTTTGTTAAAATATGTATACGAATTGTTTCCATAATAATGCTCTAAAAAATCTGTATCATGCAGTATAATAAATTAAAATGTTTTAACTTCTTTTTATATTATCTGTAAAAATATTACAAGGAATTTTTAACTATATGTTATTTAAATTTTTAAAAATTAATGTTCTTCATTGATTAATACACATAAAATTAATAAATTTTAAATATTTAAAATAATGTTACATAAATCTAACCCATATTAAAAGTTATATAATTCATTTTTACGACTTATGAATTTAAAATTTTTTTTTATATTTATGCATTTTTTTAATTGTATTAATAAATATTTTAAATTTTTTAAAATCTTATAGAAATTGCAAATTTATTTATTAAATTTATTAAATTACGTATATAAAAGACTAAGTATATAAAAAATATTAGAAAACTGTATCTTATACTATTTTATAAAATATCGAACAAAAAATCATTTATAAAATACGATTTATAAAATAACCGATTTATAAAAATAACCTTATTAAGAATGTATAGAATATTTTGAAAAATTTGGAAATGATTATCACTTCTTACAAAATTTTGATATACTACTTATTTATAATTATATTTATTACTAAGCAATACTTTAAAATAAATTCGTTAATTTATGACATTGTCTCAAAATGATTAAATCAGTAGAAGCTTAAGGCGATAATTAATTTTAAGTAAGTATGGATGATTTATTACGATTAATAAACTAATATGAGCTAATAAATAATTATGCGATTGTTCTAAAATTTTTGTAACTGTTTTTATACATTAGTTCAGTTAAAATTAATTTAAAATAAAATATTGGATTATCACTGTGAATATGGTTTTATAGTTAAATAAATAAATTATACTTAATATTCTACTGTCTATCGTTAGAATAGTGTCATAGCAAGTTTATTCTTTTACTTCACGAACAAATCATTCATAATTCATATTCACTATAAAAATTATTAAAATCATATAAAAAATTATCAACTATAATTATTCAAAATGATTAATATATGAAATTAAATTAATTATCAATAATAGAAATCAAATTAAAGAAATTAAACAAAAATCAAATTAAATAATATAACAGTATTGTTGTATAAATTTTATATTAATTAAATGAGTATAATATTGTTTTTATATATAATGTACACATTTAGACATTCTAATTTTAATGCGCCTTCTTCATAAAAAGTAATATATTTAAAAATTTTAAATTATTTTTTCAAGTTTTATACAAAAATTTAAATACAAATATTTTTTTATTGTGACTGATGGATTTTATACAAGTTCAACCGTTTGAAATCTGAATATGAATGAAAAAGTTGAAGAATAAAGAAAATTAAAGTCCTGCAATAATCGATTTAATAATAATAAAATTCAATTATTAAAGAGTCTTTTGCAATAAAATAGTATTTTTTCAATTGTAGTATTAAAATATAGAACTAAAGTGTATTTATTATGCTTATATTTTAGTTTAGTAATAATCTTTAAAGTTTATTGTTTCACATAATATTTTCTGAAAATATTATTGCTTAATTTACTATATTTGATATGATTAGCATAAAAATTAATATTTTTATGTTATTAGCGATCGTCCTATATGTGTATATCTAAGTCTTACCTTAATATGAATTTTTTGACGATATTGATATATTCTTTCTGTTATTCAATGAATCTACAAATTATTTCACCTTCAAAGTGCGAGAAATCACAAGCCTTCATTGCATTTAAGAACATTTAAGTATTATGAAGAGGCTCCCCCTCTCTCGTAATTTTTTTTCTATTGTTAGAATAGTTGCGGCTTAACAGTGTTATTTTACTGTCTGTTCCATTAGATTTTTTGCATACAATACAACTTACACAGTAAAAATGATGTCGATCTGATAGTATATATAAGACGCGATATCCTATGCAATTAGTTAGTCAACAGTACTGTTTCACTTTGGAATCTTACTGTCAACATGTTTAAATTAGTAAGTTAAATAAAATGTGAAAACTCACAGAGTAAATAATAAAATAATATATTTAAATTCAGTGGATATATTATTTATTAGAGAGTTCGAGTACATTTTGAATTCAGTGTATTATATAATTAAAATTGAGTAAAATCCCTTGAATAAATTCATATTATTATATAATAATTGTATATATATAAATAAAATAATATATATAAATAATATAATATAAAAATATAAATAATATAAATAATATAATATAAAAATATAAACAATATAAATAATAATAATAATATAATAACATAATAACACATAATATTCATTTGAAGATTTTATATTTATTTTTATATTTCATATTTATTTATATATTTTACTATATATAAAATATATAAATAAATATCTCTATTTAATATATTAAAATAGTTCATTTTATTTTTTTGCTATGTTCTGATTATATATTTACAATTATATTATTATGAAAGGAATTACGGTTTATTGAAATAAAAATTTATAAATAAATTTAACGTGGAAATCTGATTAATCATATAAAAATTGTTTTCTAATTCAAATAATAAATATTTATTTTTATAGGCATAGCATAAGACTTAAGTAATGTATTTGAAAAATATTTAATTTGAAAACAGAATAACAATTATTATAACAATTGAATAACAAACAAATGTCTTAAATATTCTAAAGAGATATGACAATATTTTATATTAAAAGTTTAAAATTAAACATTTTTTTAAATAGAATATATATATCAATAACTTTTAGTATAGTGTAAAATGTAATTTTTAGAAAGTACGAATTCAATTATGTTCATAAACTATCTGTAATAATCCTTTTTGCATTAAAAATTAAGACAATTTTTCGCTCGGAATTATTATTTCTTAAAATAAATTGCAAGTCCACAAAAATCAATTTTTCGATATTTTGCTATTTTCAATTCTTCTTTCTTTTCTTTTTGATAATTCATTGAACATTTTTTCATGGAAGTCAATAATAAATAAGAAAAGAAAAATTCGAGGACATAGCATTATTATAAGTTATTACAGATAGTAAATTAGCAAAGCAGTTGTAGATGTAAAGAATGATTAAAATTCACTTAATTTAATATGCATCAATTTGTAGTTTGTTGTTCTTATTAGCGTTGCTTACGCCGCAGCTGGTGGACTCTACTCCAGCTATGATAGTTATAACTATGGCAATAGTTATGGCAACAATTATGGATATGGATATGGTCTTGGTGGTTATGATTTAAGGCATAATGGAGCTATCGTCAACTATGCGCCATATGCTAATAGCTATGCTAATATTTATGAGGTATGTAAATCAATAAAGTAAAAATTATTAGTACATTCTTTTTTAAAGATTAATTTCTATAAATATCAATGCTTACTAAATAAAATATTTTAACATTAAACATTGGGTTTATATTGTAATTTTTTAAATGAGAATTTTCATAAAATGTAATATAAATATAATATAAGTGTAATGTAATGTCCGTAAGCTTTGAGATAGAATTATTTTATATTTCTATAAATAATAATAATTGTTAAAAACACAATGACAAAATTATTTGAAGAAAATAATTAATTTAAGACATTATGTTTCAATCTATAATTATTTTCTATTGCTTGTTTCACTAAACCAATTTAATTATTTTATTTGTGTTAAATTATTGCAATAAAAATATAAATTCCGAAATTAATGAACAATGTTATATTAAATTACTAAAAAGATTTATAATGTTCTTAAAATGAAAATAATAATACAATATTATTTGTTACACATACATTATAATTATATAATATTATTAAAAATGTTATTTTAAATTTTCATATTCAATTTATATTTTCATACCAATGAATAATATTAAAAACTTTATAAATACCTTTGCATAATTTCGCATAAGAAAAATATAAAATTTATCTTTCAATATATATTTTTAAATTTTTTATATAAAATAATATTAAAATCAATAAAAACTTTATAACACATTAATTGTTGCAATTTTTATGATATACATATTATATGTAAAAATAATATTTTAACAATAATTTTATTTAAACTAATTTTTAACAACATAATGTTAAAAGAAATATGTAATGAGCATTGTCGATCTAATTTATGTTTTATAGTAATTATAATCATAAATACCGTCAAAGATAAGTAAAATAATAAAAATTTTGTCTTTTGTTTCAGACAAGTTATCCAGTGATCTATCCAAATTATTATTCAGCAGTAAAGAAAATTCACTATACCAATCCATTGTATAAGCTTGGTCATTACTTACCGACTTATTTAGGCAGTTATGCTGCTTCTTATTCCCCTTATAACAGTTATAGTTACGGAATTAACAACTATAATTATGCTCTTAGTCATGATTACGGAGGCTATGGTGGTTATAGTGGCATTTCCAGCGTCAGTACATCTGGACATAATATTTTCCATCGCTATTAGTGAACAAATATATAATTACAGTGCCAGTAAATGCTGAAAATTTGTTTTTTCAGTTAATTATTTTAATTTTATAATAAATTATATAATAAAATAAAGTTGAATTTTTAACAAATTTAAAATTCAATTAAATATTAAACAATTAGAGAAGTAGGTTACCGTTAATTATGAAAATCGTAAATAAAATAATTTTTCATTTACATAAAAATTTAATTGTGCTCTTTTATTTTATTATATAAAATATTTTATTTACGTTTATAAAAATACTTTTCTGATTATACTAAATTATAATTCATAAAAGAAGATTATACTTATTTTTATATGTTCATGTTTATTACTCGAAATAGAATTTAACTCTCTTTTTCAATTCTATATTTATTTTAATTTCATATTTAATGAAACATAAACATAAACATAATCAATCAAATAATATTTTTCACAGTTTTCTTTGAGAATACTTGTAAAATTCGATAACTATTATATTATATGCACAATTTTTTTTAAGTATACTAACAAAATTGTAAATAATACGTGTATATATATATATATATAGTAAAATAAATTATTACAATTTTAAGTGCTAAAAGAATGTCATCAAATATTAAGTAATAAATTAAAAGATTAGAAAACAAATCTCTGTACAAAACACTCCAAAACTAATTTTAAAAATTTTTTACTTATTTTAATTTATCACAAATATAAAACATTTATTATTATTTTTGATCTTATAATAAAATATAGGAAATAATAGTAATTTGCAGACTAATAATAGTGTATTGTAAAATAAAATAAAATCATAGTATAATTATAGACTTATAAATAATTATATATTAAAAGATTTATCAAAGACGAAAACCAGATAAAATGTTAAAAAAAAAAAATTAAATTTGAATAAATTGTTGATAAATTAATAATTTTGTGATCATTAAATTTTAAATTTTTAATAAAATAACTGTTTGATAGATTATAATGTTTAGAAAATTGAATGGCCGAATTACATTGATGTTAGAGAGAATAATTTAAAATGATTATTTTGAACTACAAAATTTAACTTCAGCTGAATAATAAAAAATGTTTGTTTCAAATAAAAATTGTTCAGCAGAAAAGTTCTTCAAGAAATTTTAATTAAAAATTCGAAATGCTGTAGAAATTTACATTACTTCAAGAACAGTAATTGGTTGTTTGGCAAAGTTGAAATATATTGTAATTTGTGGATTTAACTATTTCTTCAAAATGATAAGAGCTACGATACTTTGCACGATAATTTCCATTCAGGGTATACATAACTAATCAATAATAAAATGAATAAAACAACAATCATTAATTATGTTAACAGTTTATGATAATTAATATTAATCATCAATTAATATAGTAATATAAATATATATGTATTAATGCATAATTTGTAATAATTGTAATAATGAACAGGCAACTTCTATTATAAATCTATTATTTCTATTGTCTAAATTACATATAATTAATTTTATAATTTTTCGCGAATACGTAATAAACGATCAGAAAAACTACTAAATCTATTATGAATAAATGAATTATATTCCCATGAGTACTTCCTAAATATATGATATTCTGAGATAACAACTTACTTTTACTTGATTCTTTTTATAAAATTTATTTGCCACTATTAATAACATTTAGAAAATCTATTTTTCATAAATCAAAAGTGCTACATAAATTTAAAAAAATACACACAGAACACATTATTCTTGATGCACAATAAAGTCTATACTAATAGGAATTGGTATGTATAACTCATAAAATACCTTTGTTATAAAATATTTATTTTGTAAATAACATCATATTGGAAGTTGTTACGGATTATAGCAGTTTTGAACGGTATACAAAGTGGGAGAGGTAAGGACACCTGTGCTTAGTTAGAAACATTTGCGCGCCGAGTCATAAACACAATTCTGTGAAATCGGGAAGCTTCACTACGCAAATATTCGAATATTACATTATAATTCCGACTAACAAGGCCGACGAACTCCCCAAGGCTAGACTCTAGTAACGTCACTCTAACAATCGGAATGGCAAGAGTGAACCGGTAGTCATCGGATCCGCAAGCTTGTACTAAGATATTCAAGGAACTGTGCTTGACGCTCTCGTCCTCTTGCTAGTACCAATCACGCACTCTCCATATCGGGCTCGCTATCCAACCTGCAATCGCCATTATGAAGCCATAGCAAGCATCAAGCAGCCTAAAGAACTAATAGCGACGCCACAACTATACCGGCACTCTTACTAGTTCAATCAAGCACTCATCACGACAGGATCGCCATTCTACTCATCGGCTCCAGCCCGCACGTAAGCTACGCCACTACGCTCGTTCTTACGTCTTACTAATACAACGGTGCCTGTCAATTACGTAAGCAGCAACACACTACGAATGTGCACCAATCCCATCACTACATATGATCTCACGTACACATACCAGCGGCGCATCACGAACGTCACTCACCACTATAGGTATAAGAGCGGTCCTCGCATTCACTTAAGCTTCGCACACTATCGATATTGCGTTACACCGATACGAGTGAATCTCCCACTCAGTCAAGCAGTGACATAACACGGACATCCTCCCACCACCCGACCACTACAGCGCTCACTCTACGCCGGCGGATAAGGTGGCACCAACTCGCTGCCCCTACCACCACCAATCTCTCATTACTACTACTCAACTTATAGGGAGAAAGGGAATCACGCTCCAGGCTATCAAGAACACACTTACAGACTTATCGCCGCTAACATTAATTGAAGAAACACTCATCTATTCATTGTCTCATGCATTAATTTCGATATCCATAGATCATTGACTATTTATTATATTTATTATAATTAATAAAGGGAAAGACACATTTAATAAACTCTCAAGGCAGTATTGAATTATTGCATTGCTCCTTCCACTTGCCAGCAAGCCTCCACCCATTACCAAAGGGAGGTTTTTAGTCTGATCCCAGACAGAAGTATTTAAAAAATAATTAAGAAATCATTAATAATTTTTAATTAAGAATTTAAATATTTTGAAATTATATGGATTAATAATACAATTTTAGGTATTTAGTATAAATATCAATAAATAGAAGATAATTAAAATTTATTATCTAAAAAATAATAAAAATAATTATTTTATTAACGAAATATCTATCTTCAATATTTATGAATTTAGTATAGTGTATAATAATAAAATGAATATCTATAAAAGCAAAAAATTATAGAAATACTTGAATATAACACGTACTAATTGTATGTCAATGATCAGAATAATTCATCATACAAAAATCATTTGATTTTAATTGAAAACTTTAAAAAAGGAAAAATTATATTAATTAAAAATAACCTATACTTTAGAAAACCACGGATATATATATATATATATAAATATTAAATTCTATTTATAAATAATATGTAGTATTTTTATTATTTTTGGCTTTGCTTCATTAGATTACTAATCTCTCTTATCATAATGTGGATAAGATTGTTAACAGAATTAAAGGTTGTATAAATAATAAAACAAGGAATGGAAAAATTATTGAATTAATTACAAATTAAGTTAATGGGAATAGATTAAATCATATAAAATAGCATATTAATAATTAGTTTAAAATTAGTAATGTGATTATGAGTTTCATTATTTTTATAACCCCGTTATTAATGCTAGTCCGAATAATTATACTTCAAATAAGGAAGCATTTTAAAATTTATAATTGAGTTAATTAGTTGCATCGACGAGTTTCATTACAACTAGAAATTATATGTTTAATACCATAGCGAATTTGCAGTAAATGAAATATTTGATAAATAAATGTTTTATATTATGAAAATCTTACAATACTAGATTTATTTACAAGGAACAAAAGTTATAGATAGAGGTTACCACAAAAACGACGGATTGAATAACAAATTATAACTTAAATTCGTAAAAGCACGATTTTTTCACAACTTATAAAGAAAAGACAAATTTAATAAACAATACAATATTTTGGAAAGAAACGAGAATAAATTTTGATACTATACATCTTTTACAAGCAAAAATAAGAGGGGTTTAGTCGTATTTAATTTGCATGTAAGGAAGAATTCGATCAATATTTGTAGTTCAAGGAATTAACAAAACTGATAGGGAAGAAAATTTGTTAGTTTAGAGAACTTAAGATGATTATCATTATATTTCTCATACATATCCTTTATAAATAAATGCCCCAAATATTTTGTATATTTGTAATGATATTGTTAGAAAACTGGAGCAGCGCAAGCAGTAGAATCCAGCACACACAGATGGGTACATAAGAAGAATTAGAATATGTTAACTTTGTCGAGAAAAAAAAGTATATTTTTAAAAAATGCATATTCTATATTAATACTGTATATAGCATATATTACAAGAACAAAATAAAAAAAAGTTATAAAAATAAAAAATTTTTTTGCCATAATTTTGTATCAATAAGAAATCTTCAAAATCTCCCAAAAATATTAATTTTTCGAAATCTCTTTCTTTTTAAAAGATTTTAATACTTTAAAATACATTTTAATTTCATCAAAGTTGCTGATAATTTCACTGTTTTTGCTGTATTATACTGACTTATAAAACAAGACTTATAATTATTTATACGTTCGACTTCTTGAAAGCATCCGAATGAAAATAAAAAATTATAATTTATAAAAAACAATATTCATTATGATTTAAAAGTAGAATAATATATTCTATAGATCTGTATTAAAATCTTTAAATTTGTTACATACTTTTAAATACGAATACAATTTTAAATTGTTAAAATGTTAAATTGTTTAAATTGTGTTTATCTAAAAACGTGCTCATGCTTTTCCGGTGCAGTAAAACCTTTATGTGTTTACTGCCAAGAAGACGTAGATTCTGAACGAGTATCAGATATACATAAACTATCGAGTACAAACATTTCCTAAATTTCACTGCAACCCAAAACTCGGCACGTGCGACAACAAGCAATAGGTGTACGTGCGCACTCGGTTTTTTTAAGACAATGCATTGTTCCTAACTACGCCGCATCTAGCCGATCGCATCGGAAAATCGACCACGCCCAAGAGGATCCTTCATATAGCCAAGTGCCAGAGAAGGGAGAGGCGACCAAGGAGAGGCTCCCCACTTCCGACACTTTCCCGATTAGCATATTCGGGACTGAGCCCGGAAGGAAGTGGAAATGAAGGCGTGCATATCCATTGTGCTGCCCAAGGTCAATTTCCAATTGGATAATTGAAAGAAGAAGGGGTCCCAAGTAGAACTGGGTCAGTGAACTATTTAAAAAGGACAATGCAATGTACCACCACTTATTCCTATTCTTATTCTTCTCCTGATTGAAAGGATAAGTCACGACTTACTCTCACGGAGGAGGATCAGAGACAAAGTCGTTCAGCTGAGTCTAGTAAACTGTCTTTCTACTACTGTGATTCAATATACAGTTATCGTTGGTCTCATCAAGCTTTAGATAGCATAGGTTCTGAGATTCTTGTAATCTCAAGCCAACGAAGAGGGACTGGGAGAATCAGGCTACACTGCAAGAAGTCGTTACCGCTAGTACTGATTCTTCATCTCTCGGCTTTACTCTGAAAACGGACAGCTGATAATCCGACTACAGAAGCTTCTCATGCATGCTCTAAAAACAAGACCAGCTGTAGACGCCACACAGTGGCTTTTCATTTCCTCCAATGATCAGCGATTCGCGCCACATTGGTAGCGTACATTTCCGCAACGATCATCTGTTGACGTCACACTGATGGCGCACAGCTCCGTATAACCTCTATTTTAGGCTCTTATACGGTCCATTATTCAGAGGCAACTGCAACACGTGTTGAGATGAAACACGACAAGATTGTAGTGTTCGGTCAGAGCACTACAACGATCATAAGCTCTCAAGTGATAATATTCAATAGATTATAACCTATTTCTTTTCACAGTAAATCATAATCTCATCAGTTGCATGCAGAGAATAAGGAATTGATCATCCTCATGTTCTCCAATAAAAGTATATCTCAACGCCACATGATTATTAAGAAATATAAAGGTCATTTGTAATCTCATCACGGTTAATGATCCCAACTTGGAAATAAAGTGAAATAAATGGAATAAACAGTAGTAAAAATTAAATGTATTAATTATTGAAACCGTGCATTAACCCTTTACTTGCCCAGCATTTTCCCACACAGCATCTAGTGGTCTTCTCCTAAGTTAATTTTGCATGTTAGGCTGACGAGTCAGATTAGTGGAATTGATTTTTTGAACAGATACTATATTGCAAATATTGTAGAATATTTAAAATTCAGGCGTAGACAATTTACGAATTAGCCGAATCATGCTTACAAACATAAGCATCCGGGAGCTTCTACTTTTCCCAATTTAAATTCATGAAAACTGATCCAATTCCAGAACAGATACATTTATTGTGATCGCTTAGGCGTGTGTCGAAATTTGGGTTAACCAAAATAAATGTTGAATCAAATTGGATACATTAAATTGATGTTTACATAGAATTAAAAACGTAAAAAGATAACATCAAATTTTATACAACAGATGACTACAATACAAAGATTTTATGCAATTATTTTCTGTCAGTTAATGATCAACGTAAACTACTTTTTTCGTAAATACAGATTATGTTAGTGTTGGCAGTGAATAAAGAAAGTCTTGGAATGGTAATCAATAAAACATCCAATGGTAAAAAAATTAGAGCGATATTAATAAAGAATTTCATTGGTGTTTCTGTGAACGACGTGTAAATAATAAAACACACTTATGCAAATTATTATTGCTGTTATCATTTGTATTAATTGCTTTTTATAGTCGGCTTAGATTATAAAAAATAAAAGACGTTACATTTTTTAAACAATTTGCCCACATTGTACCACATTACTTTTTTTTAAAACAATTCATTTTATATTCATTGGACTTATTACAATATAGAAAATACGATTTAAATTCATTTTATTGCAAATGAAAATATTAATGAATTTAAATAGTAATTATATTCATAAAATAAATTTTATATTCTTTAAATAATATATAAAAAAAGATTTGTTTAAATATCAATACAAATATACAACGTAAAAAATAAATACATTCTTTTCTGTTTTTTATTTTCCAAAATTAATTTTATTTAACTTTTGTAAGTAATTTAAAATTAATAATCAGTAATAAATACTATATTGTTAACAGATTTGTAAAATCCAGTAAGTTAGACGTTTATTATACGTTTCAAATATTTTGAAGCTAATCATTTAATACATTATAAAACAATAAACGTATATAGTATGCCTAATCAATTAAATCTTAACTGCGCATGCCTCAAGAAAATAATCACCTACGCTCATATTACAAAGAATAAAATTGTATTTGGTTAAATAAAAGTAGGTAACTAATTGTCCTCGGTGAAGCGATATTCTTAAAATCGCCGAGAGGTTCCAAAGTTTTACTATTTGATATTTATTATTAATTAAACATATTTCATACATAGTGCTCTTCTTGTAATTATAAATCATGGTAAGTTCATATTGAAAATCATTTTAATAAAATCATATCGAGGTTATATTTAACATGTGTTAATATTTGTTTTTTCCTTAATATTGGTTTTTATACATTTATTAACAATATTCATATATCATATTGTATAAAAAAATATTAGTAATATATATTAATATATATGCTAATGTTATTTGGCTTAAAACTTTCATTATATATATTTATTTTAGTCAGATGAAGTAAATCCAAAAGCTTATCCTTTAGCAGATGCCACACTTACAGCAAAAATACTTAATTTAGTTCAACAAGCATTATATTATAAACAGCTTAGAAAAGGAGCAAACGAAGCAACTAAAACTCTTAATCGTGGTTTATCAGAATTCATTGTAATGGCTGCAGATGCTCAACCACTAGAAATTTTACTTCATTTGCCATTATTATGTGAAGATAAAAATGTTCCATATGTATTTGTAAGAAGTAAACAATCTCTTGGAAGAGCTTGTGGTGTATCCAGACCAGTTGTAGCATGCTCTATTACTGTTAATGAAGGTTCACAATTAAAACCACAAATACAAGCTATTCAACAAGAAATTGAACGTCTCTTAGTTTAAAGCTATAAATGATATAAATTTTTTAAATATTTTTTTTTAATATAAAAAACAACAATGAAGTTATAAAATAAATATATATTTTTAATATGAAATTTTTGTCATAAATATATATAAAAAATTATAAATTTCTTTAATCAATAGGTATAATATATTAGTAAAAATACCAATATTTAATATTTACGTGTTATGATTAAGTAATATTCTCAATTCAGCTATAAAAATTCAATTTACCAATTAGATTGATTAAAATATGTAATCACAATATTTAATAAGAATTATTAAATAATAAATTTTTATTTATGTTTCATGTAAACAAAAAATTAAATGGTCTGAAAATCTAAAATTAATCAATGTATTTTTACCATTATAAATCTTAATTAAAACTTAGACTTGCTAAAATATCTTGAAAATGCTATTTATACTTGTTACATTTGTGTTGAAAAATGCCTTAAAATTCAAATTACTTAATTTTTTTTATCTATTAAAAGTTAACATAAAAACTGTTTAGCTCTAAATCAAATAATCAACTGATTAATGTATAAAACTTTTATACATTATATAGTACATTAAACACAGATATAGTATTAGAATTTTACATTATTTAATATACTTTGAAAATACTATAATTAATAAATAGTAAGTGCATAACTTTTATAAATTATAATTTTATACATCAATTATCTTTATATTTATTTATATTAATATTTTATAAGTTAATTAAAATTTAAATTTTATTAGATAATTTGAATAATTATTTTTAAATTAAAAATTTATTATAATTTATTTATTAGTTACAAATAACAATTGATTTAACAATGAATATTTGTATGCTCTAATATAATCTAAATATTTTAATAAAATACACAGTTTCAAACATATATAAAAGTTAATTATAAAAATTAATAAACTTATTACTACTTTAAAACAACATTTTATTATTCCAAATTTATTTCATGGAAATATATTTGCAATGATCATGTAAAATTAAAAATAAAATAAATAGTTCCTTAAATAAAATATTTTAAAAAATATTTAAATATTGAATGTAACAAGTGATTTATTTAAAATCTTTTATTGATACTTTTCATTTTTAATGAAATGAATTTTTAATTAATGAAATTAATGAAAATTTTTAATGAAAATGAAAATGAAAGACAAAATTACTTATAATTAGGAAGCTATAAAAATATTCATTAAAGACAAAGCTGTAAAGATGCAATATAATTGTAAGTCATATTATTAAATACTTAATTACATTCAGCTCAATATAAAACAGAATTAATGTGTTTCCTTAAGTGAATTTTAGGAAATCACAGTACTTTTCTATCTTATTGTAATTACATCAAACTTTTTACTTTATTTTATAAGAATAATCATAAATACTTTTATCTAAATACAAAAATAATTAGCTGTAATTTCATTTTTGTGAATTCTTACGTAATTCTAATTAATTTTTCTAAATTATATTACATTTTTTAATATAGAAAATATTTACTTTTATAGGTATTTTCTAATATTTTTTATAAGTTTTATGAATGAATATATTTTAATATATATTAAATCATTTTTTTATCAATTTTTCAATTTTAAATAAATAATGAAAAAATCATATGGAAGTATTTGTATTATTTTAAAAATCATTTTAATTTGAAATATCATTAAATGCACACATGAACATACTACACAGTTTTTCTCATATAAATATCAATTGGAAAGATAAAGTGATTTAAAACGAAAATAGAATCAAGTAATTTATAAAAGTACAAAGGCTGTATTAAATTTCAAAACTAGGTAGTGCTTTATTGATCCAATTTTTATGCCACCGAAGCTGCTGAAACTTTATTAATTCGTCTCTAAATAGATTATTTTTTTGTTGTTGAGAAAAATTTTTAAACCATAACTTAAGTTGTGTACTCAATTCTTCTGCATTTGAAAAAATGAAACCATTTTTATTATCTTTAACAAGCTCATTTAAGCTAAAACATAAATATAATATATTTTTTAGTAAATTATTAATATACTGATATAATTGTACGCATTTGTAAATGTCTCACCATTTAAAATTATATGCACACACTGGAAGGCCGCAGCCAAACATATCTACAATTTTTATCGGTAAATCTACACCACTTGAAGATTTATGAAGACATACCCCCAAATCTGCACTTGCTAAATAAAAAGAATTTATATTTAACATTAATAATATATATTACATTATATATAAATCAAAATTCTCTGAAATATAAAAATCTTTTTATATAAAATTTTTGTTTTTAAATTAGAAAAGATCACTATAAGTATAAGTTCTAAAGTTGTCGACTCATAAGATGTAAATTCATCAAGTTTACCTAATAATTTGGGATAATCTTCATTTTCTAACCATGGAGTAAGAACTTTTACATGATTCCAATTTTTCTTTTCAATTATATTTGAATAAAATGCTTTCAATGGTCCTTTACCAGATATTACACATATTAAATCTGGATACTCCTTATATTTATTTAATACACATTCATTATTATAATCTATATGTTAAAAATTATATTCTTTATATATATATATATATGGCATACGAAGTAATAATATTTGAAATTAATTTAACTTAACATTTTTATTATATTTTACCATTAAGAGCATCCAATAAAATAGAAAAATCTTCATCTTTAGTCCAACTAGTACTTGACATAACTAAAGCTGGTTTATTGACTTGTAACTCAATTTCTTTATTTACTGTTGTTCTTGTAAATATTGTAGAATTCTTTTCAGTACCTTTGAAAATATTATATTCTTTACTTAATTTAATGAATAATTTATGTTTTTCTTTTAAAGAAATAGGATGAAAATTATCTGGAGGTCGATCATATAATACTTTCGCCCTATAAATTTAATAGAAATTTAACATTAAATACTTAAACTGAGTCAAAGTTTATATAAGAATATTTAAAAATAAAATGACCTGATACTCCATTTCTTATCCAAATCATCTTTCATAGCTTTGGTTACACAAAAATTGTACATTGCTTTACCACCAAAAAATGCCTCAATAATAGTAGCTAATTTAATAAGAATATGTTTCTCTGATAAACTAAAAATCATAACAGAATATGCATAATTATGCCAATCAATCGCCAATTTAGTTCTAGTAATATAACAATAAAACCAACATATAGGCATAGAAGGTATTGCAGGAGGATTTTGTAATAACAAATAACTTGAATTACATTTTAAAAATAAACTATATGAAAGATTAATAGATTGCCAAAATACTTTGAAAGCGTAAAAAATAGTTGTGATTAATTCTGTAATATAAATAATACAGAAATATATAATTTACATTCATCTTCAAAATATTAAAATTATGTTTTAAGATAAATGTATTATTTGTATTATTTCAATTTAAATTAGAAATATTTTTTTACAGGATAAAAAAGTACATACTACTATTTAAATTTGGAGGAATACTAAGATAATGTATTTTGACTCTTGAATCATTTTGTAGTTTGTTGAGAGGTGGTGTACCAGGATAGCCTACAATTTCTACAGAATATCCTTCTTTTATAAAAGAAATCGCATGATATTGCATTCTTGGGCTTCGTCCTATATCTCCAAGGACAACAATACAAACACTCTTTGCCTTTTTACATCTTTTAAAACATACAGCTAACAGTAAACCCAAAATAAATGAAAGTCCAAAAGAATGCATTAAAAACTCCATATTTAAAATTTTTTATACCGATTTATTTAAATTTAGTATTATATATGTTCTATTATTAAGTTCTTTTGATTTTTAACATACACAAAATCTTACAATGTTCAATTTGTAACATTATAAACAAATTAATATATTTTTAATATTGAAATAATTTTTAAATATATGCTCTAAAATAATAAAGTATATAATGTTTATAATATTTAATACACATTTTAATGATTTTAAAACTTACCAGTGTATATTTTTGAAAAATACAATAAAAATTAGTAGATCAAGGTAATAACCTTAACCTAGAATCATTTGTAAACGTACATTTAACCAAGCCAACTAAATCGCTGAAATTAAAAATATAAAAATGTAATCATGATTATATAGATTGTATTCATCAATTTTGTGTCACAACTCTTTTTTTTACTAATTTAAGTTATAGATTCATTTTATATATTTTTAATTATTATAAATGTTTGTATTATTTTTTAAAAAATGAATGAATAAATTATTGTTTTATTAAATAATTATTTGTCGACATATTTCTAATTGATAGTTAAAAGTTATTTGTTACTTAGTTTAAAAAATTAAATTAAACAATATTTATTTATTATAATATAAACAATTAATTCTATGTAAAATTATCATTGATGTTATTTACATAATCAATATTCTTTTTTTAAATTATATTATATTGAATTTTTACTTTAATTTGTTTTAAATATTATCACTTAAAATTTGATATCTGATTAATATCATTACCTCATAGAATTCTATACAATGATAAATTAAAAATTTAAATAAGTATTAATAAATAGAAATAATTTAATAGATTATTTTGTTTTTTGATAAAGTAAATATACCTAATTATTTGATATTCTTGATATAAATTCTGAAATTTATTCTATTTGTATCAGTTTATAGATTAAATATTGATGAATCAATGTACTTTATGCTTGCTGAATGTTTTTTCCTTTCTGTTTACTTGAAACTATGAATTATTATTATTTAATTTTTAGATAATTTAAATTTTTGTATAATTTTTTATGCAAACAAAATAATAGTGTTATGAAACAGTTACCTCTATTGATAAAAGATATACAAGTTCCGTCTGTACAACCCCAGATTGACAAGCTGTAGTTTATTTCTTTTTTTGCTTTCCGAATGTAGTTACTATTACCGTATGTACATTCTCTATCTCACCTCTTGCTTTCGATCAACAGTATCAATTGGTTATGCTCTTTCTTTGTCCACACATTTCTATACACGTTAATCCATTATCTAAAAAGATGAAAGTAGCAGATTCATTTTTTTCGAACATCTAGTCTAGTAGATAATTTCTTTAACTTTCTTTTGACATATGGATTACTAATTTTATCCCAACCTTTTCCTTAGTATTTTTTTTTCTTTTTCTTAAAGCATCACTTTCAATTGCGACTTTCATTTACCATCTATAAATTTTGAATACTACTTACTCTATGATGTACTCTTACAAAAGACCGTTAAAATAATGAATTGTTCAGCTGCGTATCTAATGTATATTTATTATTCATGCTACAAATATCGGTATGATTTAATAATTAAAAGATAAATATAAAATATAAATAAACTTTTAATGTCACACCTTTAAGTTAATTAATTCTATTTCTAGTTGACAAGTATCGATATTTGATGAAATATAAGGTAGTTGGGTCTGTTGCCTTATATAATACATAATATTTTCACACTAATTAGTCTTACTTTATTGTCTTTTATAATGTTTTATATAACACAATAGATTTTAAATATTTTAGTATTCATGTATTCATCATGCTTCGATTCATATGTTATAGATTTGCATTTTAAAAATATATTAGATAGTTTAACTGAAACAACTGCAATTCATGTATTATTCATCTTGTAAATAAAAAAAAACACTAATCAGGTTAGATTTTAACTGATACACGAGATAAAATAAAACTAGTTAAATAAAAAGACAGATATTCATTTTATATTTATTAATATGAATTTTTGCATATATAAACTCAATAATTCAATTACGATGTAAAAGAAACCTACATGTTGTACACATTTGTAACATTAAAACGTGTATATATATATATATATATATATGGATTGTATGAAAACTATGCTTTTAAAATTATAATCTACTTTCAAATTTTAAAAAATAATATTTTACTTGATTAAAAACATATATATATATATATATATATATATATATATGTATAATAGAAACATTAAATTAAATTATATTTTTCGAATACAAAACAAAATATTACTAAAATAAACTATTCATTTGTATGAGATTCTTTATTATTTAAATCAATCATGCTAACAGAATCGATTAGATATTATATTTATTTACTGTTTTAACATTTCAATTAAAATTTTAAATTCATAGATATATTGATTTTTAAATTATATACATAAAAATTAAATATAATGTATCTCACGATGAATACAAATATTTTCATTTTTATTTTATATAATTTTCACTTAGTAACTAACGAAACATATGACATTAGTTTTACATATCGATATGTCTGGTCTATTTATGAAAATTTCGGTTGTACAAACTAGAGTATTAGATAAAATTTTTATTTACAAAATACACATAATATTCATTTTGATTCGGTAGGTGTCAACTATTAAATTACCAAAAGATTGAAAATTGTGTGAAAAATTATTTTAAAAAGAAAATTGAGTTAAAATTTTTTTCTCAGTAAATTAGAACTATTAATATTAAATTTACATACATTATATTTCTAAAGATTTTTTTTGTCCTAGTTAAAAAATATAAATTTAATAACAAATTTTAATTGAAATTTTTAAATTCATTCTCCAAGCTATCAATCAACTTAGATTTGTAGTACAATACAACAAATGAATAAAAACTATTTAACAGAATCCATTTAATGGTGATAATCTATAACGTAATGTATGATAGGTTATGGAAAAGTTATTTTTATTTTAAAATTTTGTGTAATATTTTTAGTTCAAAATCTTATTGGGAATTATTATTATACTTACAAAATGAAAGATATTACATATTATTTTACTGATTTACCTGATAATAATAAAAATGCATCTATAGCATTAAATGTAGTTAAACCTGAGCATACTAAAATCCAAGAAACTAGTATTTTATTAAACGAAAATTTAAGAATTAAAAGGAAACGTAACAAGGTAAAATCAATGTGCTTAAATTTATTAGTTTAATATATAAAGCATTCTATTATATTTAAGAAATTGATATGAAAATAATATTGTTGTAGAAATAAAAAATTATTTAGATAATTTAATTACACAGAAAAACAATATATTTTTGCATAAAGATCTAATAACATTGAAATTAAAATAGTAAAAAATAAATTAGTAAATTAATGTATCTAATTTTATTGTAAACATTTCTTTTGATGAAATTCTTAATTTTATTCTATATTAATAAATATATTGAAAAACAAATGATTTAAATAAATTTATTTAAAATATAAATTTGTTGTTTTTACTAGTTTATTATTAGTTTTTATTTATTCCTTAAAATCTTATTAGTATATAATTTATATTTTTCCAGCACATATTTGTATTAAATAAAAGGGAAGAATTAATTGAAAATGAATCAATAAAATTAATAAAATCAGACAACAAAGGACAATTAAAACGAAAAATGATTGAAGAATTTACAAAGATTGAAAATAGATTAGAAAAACGAAAGAAAATTTCTATTGCAAAGGCAAATATTAATTTTAAAGCAATTGAAAATAATGAAAATTTTAGTTCAAAAAAACATGACTTTAATCATTTAAAACATTCTGGTAGTTTATTTAAATATTTCAGGTAAATATAAAATCATGTTATTATAGTTTACATAGTAATAATTATTGTTATATTTAGTAAAATAATTCCTGAAGAAACTGAAAAAGAGAAACATATGAAAGCAAAAGTGACAATCAAAGCAGATGTTCATAATTCTCAAATTTCTTCATATTCTATTTGTACCATATTCGATAATAAAAATAAAGAGTTATCAAAAACTACTAATGTTGCAAATTCAGAATATATACATGATGATATTGATTTAATAGAATCAGAAAAATCATTTATTCAGCCAAATAAACAAAAATGGTCATTAAAAATTCAGCTTCAATCAAGTAATATACATGTATCAGGTACATTATATAAATTGTGAAAATAAATTAAAATCTTCTAATGATGATACAAAATAAAATAAGTCTCCTGGAATTTATCTAGTTGATGGCAGTGATTTTTGACACTTTGATCGCTGATTTTTATTTTTATTTATAATTAAAAAATTGGCTATATTATTTATAATTAATTTTAAAACATTATTTCAGATATAATGAATATATATACCCCATTAGAGACATTACAATTAGAAAATAAAAATTTAAAAATTAGTGAAAAAATTCCCAAAATATTATTACCCATAAAAAATAGGAAAAAATATTGTTCTGTATTAGATGATGATAAATCTAAAAAAAAACAAATACAAAATTTAAAAGTTAATAATATTCATAAATGTAAGACTGATATAGCAAAGACTGAGGTTGATGAAAAATTGAATTATATTGTAAATCATCATAGGATTGATGCTTTAAATTCAGAAAAAAAAAAATTACATATTGTATCTCCAATAACTAAAAATAATTGTATTGAACAAAAATCAAAAAAGTCGGTTGCATCACAAAATTTAAATTTACAATTAAATATACATAAAAATGATATTATTAATACCATACATAAAATAATACCTTCTGAGTATTTAATATTACCTTTTCCAAAAGTAAGTCACATCACCCAACTTCCTATAGATAATATTTCAGATAAAAAAAAATATAACATTTGTTTAAAAACAAATAAAGATTTTAAACAGTCATTTGAATTATTACAAATAAAAAGTGTTTTGAAATTAGATAATGAAATACTTTTACCAGAATGTGTTTATAAATGTGTAAAAGCAGATATTCAAGCAGTAATATTTGAAATTGAATCGTACTATTTTGATGCACAAGCTCTATGGAAATCAATTTCTAAATTAACAAAGCGCACAATAAAAATAAAATATACATCAAATAATAAAATTTATAAACAATTAAGCCAACATAATTCAAAAAATGAATTATGTAATAGTTTATGGATTAATAAATATAAACCTAATAATAGTATGGAAATAGTAGGTAATGAAGAAGGTGTGGCTAAATTAAAATCTTGGTTGAAATATTGGAAATTGTTGAAAAATAATAAAGAATATAGTAGCAGTGAAGAATTTTATTCATCTGATTGTTGTGTATCAAATTATGTAGAAAATAATAAAGTAGCTGTACTAATTGGACCACATGGTAGTGGAAAAACAGCTAGTGTTTATGCCATTGCTAACGAATTAGGTTATAAGTAAGAGTATTATATATTTTTCACAAAAATTTTATGTTAAGACAAGATTTTTAATATTTACATATATATATGTATATGTGTTTTTTTTGACAGAGTTTTAGAAATAAATGCATCGTCAAAACGACTTGGAAAACAAATTTTAAAAGACTTTGAAGAAGCTACTAAATCTCATAGAGTGGAAAAGTTGCATTTCAACAATATTTTTACTTCACTATCAAAAAAAAAAAAAAATAATAACATTTCCCAGAATTCTCTTATACTCATGGAAGATGTAGATTTAGTTTTTGATGAAGATCAGGGGTTTGTAACAGCAATGTTTCAATTAGTTTCTAGTACAAAACGTCCAATTGTTATGACTCTTACAAATAATTGCTTTAATCTGTGTAAAATGGCACCACAATATCTTCAAATTAATTTTACATCAGTAACTGGCAAAAAAGTATTAGCATTATTACAACTTATTACATTGGCAGAAACAGGATGCAAACTTTCCATAAACTGTTTAAATGTATGAATATAATATTTATATTTATATTTGTATATATGTTAATAAATTTTTGTTTATATGGTTTAGGCTCTTTGTCAAAATGGAGACTTAAGAAAGGAACTTCTTCAACTGCAGTATATGCTAATATCAGATAAGGAACAGATTCCTTTCACTTCATTGGCTATAAATAATTCTTTTTTAAAGAATATACAAATTTTTATTTATAAATCCGCTATTAAGGCAAGTAAAAATATAAAAATGAATCATATATTCAATGATAAAAGTTTAAACACCGTTGTTCTAGATAAATTAGTTAACTATTTAGATATTTTTATATTAATATCAGTACTAGTTAATATTGATGATCCAACGTCATATTTATTTGAATTAAAATCTGAATCTAGCTTATCTCTTATTGAACATTCCGAATATTATTCTAATTTAGATAATATAAGTGTAGAAATTGGTTATTGGTTTAATGATACAATAAATAAATTAATTTCTAATGACTTTAAGAAAACAAATAGTCAGATAGATATAAACAAATACCAGTTATCAGTGAAAAAACAAATAAATAGCAGAAAATCAATCCTATCAAAAATTGTCTCAAACACAACCGACCAACAAGCTTTAGCCATAGATTACCTTTCAAATATTCGAACAATATGTAGAGCCGAAGAGATTCGAAATCAACTTAATCATAAAAGAGGCAACCGTTTTTATCATTATTTACAAAGTTCAAAACTGAAAATTGAAAAGTCAAGTAATATTTTATCTTCAGTTTGTAAAATATTACAAAGTAGATCAAATTAGTTGTAAACTTTCATGATAAACTAGTATATATTATATATCAATAATGTAAAAATGTAATATATATAATTCAAGTTATTTAAAAAATATATATTGTAATAAATTCCTTCTTTTTCTATTTATATACATAAATGACTTTGAATCAGCATTATTACTACAATTTTATAGATTTTACAATATTTGTTTATCAATTATTAATATTTTGTTTAAATAATATATCATTTTAATAAAAAAATATAAACATAGTTATAATACTTTTAAATTCGAAAATTATTTATTTTTTTTTGTCACAATTATAAATGATGAAATTACAAATTTTATATTTTAATATGATGCAATTTTCTATTAAGCTCTTCAAATTTTAATATTTTTCGAATAAAAAAATCTCCATATCGATGAGCAACTTTAGTATCTGCTATGTGAATCATATCATGGTCAATATAAAAATCTAGCTGAAAATTTAGAGTAATTTTATTTTAATACAAACAAAATTTTTATAATTGTATAAGATTTTCCAATCGATTAAATGCATACCTCAGAACCGGATTGAAATTTTCCATCTAACCCAGATGGTCCTTTAATCCAAACAATGTTTTTCATTTTATGTTTGAAACATAAAAGATAAATGGTAAGTTTATCGATTTCTTCGTTTAAGTCAATTTTTTCATTTTGTTGGCTACTAATCATAAATGTTGCGAGTTTACTTAAAGGTAAAGTAGTGTAAAGCTTTAAATATGAACGAATTGTAGGCAACATTTTTTGTTGTATAACTTCTTCCATAAATACATGGGTTTGATGTTTAATAGCTAGCTTAATATAATCCTCACTAGACTTTTTAGGTGGATGTAAACACAAGAATTTTGGACAAGCAAATTGGAAACATGATTCAAATTCTTCTAAGTCACCACATTGCATTTTGTACATTTTTTCATGGTAATTTTTATCACGAAGTGCTTGCTGTAATCCTTCATCAACACATTGGGGATGCAATACCAAACATATTGCCAATAAATGATACATTTGTTCTGTTTGTTTATTAATTTGATCATTTTGATAACTTCTTGATGCAAAAAGCTGTTTCGTACGTTGAACATATAGTAAAATACTAGAAAAAGTTCTTATTGCATCTGCATATCTTCGCATCATCATGTAAGCAAATCCAACATAATAAGCTGTGGATATTTGACAGCCAGGAACATGAGAATATGCACTCTTTTTATACAATTCAACATTTTCTAAAACCTAATTAAGAATAAAATTTATTATAGAATATATTTTAAAATAAATAATATTTAAGACAATAAAGAAAAAACCTTTATTGCTTGATAATAGTCTCCAAGTAAAGAATGTACACGAAGCAAACCAACAAGTGAAAAATATCCCATCATCTTATATAAAGAGTGCCTTCCAAAAACTCCAGCTACTGAGTCAGGATCTCCACCACTTGCATATACTTCTAATTGACTTTTAATTTTAGATTTATCAATTAAATAATGTAAAACGTTTAAAACACAAAGTACATCCCATACTTTACTATTTTCCAATACAGTAACTTCATTATTTGCTTTTTGTAACAAATTAGATTCGTTACTTGCTTTTTGCAACAAATTAGCTTTATATGATGTGACAGACTGAAACTGATATACAAATTCATCTATTAACTCCCACAACCATTGGTCAGGTAATTCAAGAGGTACTGGTTCAGTAGAATTTAATATATAATTAAAAAGATCGCAGTAATTAAAAAAAGCATCAATTCGCTGTTTTAAATTAGGTTGCATACGAGCATAAATATGTCGAAAGTATAACTCCTTATATAATGTAATAAACACATAATCATTATCAACAAGTTCACTTATTTGAGACTCTTCTGGCCAAGGTATGGTATCAAAAAGCTGTTCTGACAGTTTAGGAAATGTATTTTCATACAAATTTTGAATTTCAAAGATCATTCCTTCGTTAATACAATTATGTAAATATATAAGAAATTTCTTCACAACCTCTGGCACCTGCCGGAAGTTTCTTGAATCAAGATCATCCGAAGTCCCATATTCATCATAGGCGTCGTACTAAAAATCAAAATTATTTTAATAAAACATGATTACATCCAATATATTATTAATAAAATATATATACCTGATCGTTATATTCTTCGCTATACATTATACATTAATAATATAAATATAAAGGAAAATAGTTTCAAACTAAACACGTTGTAAAATTATGAACGTTGTCCAATATTAAAATTCAGAAGTAAAACCATAGACTAATAAATTTACTAAGATAAATTACACTCAACAAAAGATGATAAGTCTTTTAAAGCATGTGCAATGAAGATCTGTTTTTTATTGCCATTCAGATTCATAATTCTAATTTAATAAGAAATTGTGCAAGGTGATCCAATAAATATTCATAATATTGATACGTTACTTTTTCAAATTTAAATTGAATTAAAATAAAATTATTTTTATTAAATGTTATCAGTTATAAATGTATATATATTCATATAATTGTTTATTTTAGTACTAAGATCATAACAGTTTTTTTTGTGAAAATAAGTTTCTATGAAAGTATTGCATATTATAAATCTAGAAAATATAAATCCAAATTTTCCTAAAAATAAAAAGAAATTGTCATTATTCTAATACGAATTCAATAGGTACTACTATTTAATCATTTATATCATTCTTATATTTATGTTTATAGTTGAAATTTCATATTGCTCATATCTTAAAACGAATTTGTACATACCTGCAAATATCAGCAATTTGAATGTGAATTTGTATAGTATATTTTATTAAGAACCAATAATCATAAGTGATCAATTCGAAACAAAAGAACATTATTCTTTTTTTTAAATTTATTTACAAAGTGAAATATTATATAAAAAAAATTTTTAAATCAAACGCCACGTAAATATGAATAAATATAAGTATATAATACCAGAATTATAAACAATTATTGAAATTATAGTTATTTTTTAAAAGGTTAAACACTTGCAGTGTAATAAAATGGGAAAACTGGCTTCCTAAAATCACATTACTGTATTTTTTTATTTTTTATAAAAAAAAATTTTTATTTTATTTACTGTTTATTTCTTACATAGTAACGTGTCTATTTATCAATATAATAGTCCTTTATATTAATTTTTTTATATATATTTCAATATAAATATACTTTTTTACTATATATTGTTTACAATAAACGTCAATTTCTTTTAATTGAACCTATATTATTAAGCGATGATTAGATTACAATCATATAGTAGATATTCCATAAATGCCATATTGTCTACTGTATAGTAATCGCAACATAAAAAGAAAATTTTTAAATAGTACTAAAATTTTATTACTTTTGCTTTTATCATAAATATTATATACTATTATTTGCACTTACAAATAAATTTTGATCGATGTATTACTTCATTTTAGAGGCTGATCCAATGACACAATTAAGAATTTATATAATTTATAGTTTGTATATGACTTTTTAACAGTTAAAGTAAAGATCAGTTTTAAATTATTATTAATAATTAAAAATTTAATAAAACTTTATGTTGCAAGTCTGAAAATTAAAAATTTAAATACATTATTTTAAACCAAAAATATTATAATTTAAAAATATTGCAAACTGTGTTGATCAAGTATTCAATGGTAAGATTCAAGATAAGAGAAAACAGAAATTAATGAAATGAAAATAATGAAAGAAGAGTAATTATGATACAATTAATATGCATATTGTATAAATTTTTGATGATACTAGCCGAGTCCATTAATACGATATGCGTATCTCCCTACTTGTTAGCTATATAAGTTGGATTAAGAGTATTTCAAGTTATAGCAAACAATAACTTTGAAGAATAGAGCATTATAATCTTGTTAAGCTAGTTTTCTACAATCAAAACAAATTAAAAAATGATAAAACAAATTGAAAATGATAACTAAAATATTATTTCTGATGATATGATATAAATGAACTTCAAAATAACATATGTATATAGACACAATTAATTATTATATTTATATCTTAATAAGCAAAAATAATGTACAGTCAGCGTTTAGATTACAAGCATATATTACGCATACAATATATTTTAATGTTTCAGAAATATTTCATAGATAGTCTGGTAGTCTATTACATACTCGAAAATATTCTGCTGTATCTATTGTTATAAATTATACCATTTAAGTTAGGTATATTTTTATATACTATAGGTAATCATCTTTTGTAGAGAAAAGTGGGAAAATTCAAGAGGAAATAATGATTATTATGGTTTATTCTGATATTAGAGTATTGCCGCTTTCATTTGGTGAAGTAGAGGTATACTTTTAGAAAGTCTTGTATTGCAAGCTAAACTTCGAAAATTGGTTAAACTCAATATATTTTCAATTTATCTATCTGGCCGTTTAGTCTTTGAAAGAAAAGTTAAATACTTATAAAAAATAATTTTTTTATTTGGTTGAAAAAATGTTAGCGGATTAATAATCTAATTTCCATAAAATCTGAAACTAACTTCATATTGATTTCGAGGGTTGAGATGTGCTGAAAACTCACTGTGTTTGAGAATAAGAGACTCCGTTTAATAAGGCAATAAAATATCTGACAAGTAATGTCATGAAAATTGTATTTAAGACTTCAAAACTTTCCTGCTCATAATTAATTGTACTAGTGTCATAAAACATCTGGAAAACTCTAGCGGAACGTGCTCATACTCCCAGTGCAGTAGAACCTAATGGGTTTACTGCCGGGAGAACCCCAAAGTAGATTCGAAACGAATATCAGATATGCGTAAAGCATTGAGTACAAACATTTACTAAAACCCAAAACCCGTACGTGCAACAACATGCAATGACCATACGTGCGCACTCGGCCTTTAAGACAATGCTTGCATTGTTTTTGGCTATGCCACATCTGGTCGATCGTATTGGAAAATTGACCACGCCCAAGCGGACCCTTCTTCTAGCCAAGTCCCAGAGAGGGATGAGGCAACCAAAGAGAGGTGACCAATGGAAAAGGCTCGCCACCTTCCGACACTTTCCCAATTAGCAAATTCGGAACTGAGCCCGGAAGGAAGTGGAAATGAAGGCGTGCACAATCTATTGTGCGACCCAAGATCAACCACTGATTGGTTAATTAATAAAGGAAGAAGGGATCCCAAGTGGAGCGGGATCAGTGAATCATTTTAAGAAGGGACTACGTAATGTACCCTCACTTACTCTTTCCAAATACTTCTTACAGTGAAGGATAAGTCACGACCAACTCTCACGGAGGAGGACCGGAGAGATGAGTCGTTTAGCTAGCTGAGTTTTAATAATAAGTTCTTTCCACTATTGTGAATTAGTGTACAGTTGAATTGATCTCATCAAGACTGGATTGCGTGGGACCTGACCACTTGTGGTCTCACTTGGAGACAAGGAAGAACTGAAGGGTTGCAACATTGCAAGGGAACGTAATAACAAGCCATCGAAGAGAGACTGGAAAATCACGATACACTGCAAGTAAGTCCTTACAGCTAGTACTCATTCTTGATTTCTCGGCTTATGTAGAAGACGGACGGATAAAGTCCAACTACGGAAGCTTCCCGGACATACTCTTGAACAAGACCAGCTATAAACGCCACATTGGCTTCTCAATCCCTCCAACTGCAAGTTGTTCCAGCCACAGATGGCGCACAGCTTCGCATAACCTCCATCTCGGCTCTCTTACGACCGATATTTAAAGGCAACTACACACGTGTTAAGATAAACACAATGGCATTCCAGTGTTCGATCAGAGCACTACAATCATGATAACCTCTTAGCGATAATATTCAATAGATTATAACCTGCTTCATTCATAGTAAATATATTTCAACACCACAAGATTATCAAGAAATATAAAGTTCGTCTGTAATTCACCATTTTGTAAATCAATTCAAATAAATAGAAATAATAAAGACATGTGTTAATTATTAATCAGTGCATTCACCCTTTACTTGCCCGGCAACCCCACATAACATCTAGTGGGTTTTATTGTTCTACGTTAATTATTGCACGTTTGGCTGACTAGTCAAATTGTGGGATTATTTTCCGAACACACTGATAATGAAAAGATAATAAAACTCCTCGTCTTGATCTGCTTAGGTCATTCAGTTTCAGTTTAAATATTGAGTAATAACTTAACAATAGATAATAGACTATGTATTCGAGATTTTGAGAACTTTTCCCAAGCTCATTAAACATCTGGCAAACATGTCATTAAATATCTGTAAAACAAGTCGTTAGACTTCGGGATAACCCAGCTCATTAGGCATCTGGGAATAGTTGTTACACCCAAAATTAAAAATCTTACGGTACACACTCGCATCCACTGTTGTCAAATCTAGCCATACTACTGCTAGAAGCGCTTCAAAGGCGCTCCAAGGACGCTTCGGTCAGGGGCTCCACTAGACGGGATAGCCAAGAGAATACTGAGCTTCCTGATTGAAAGTGCTGCCGATGGAGGCGATACTAAAGCGCTCCGTGTAGAGATGCCGAAGTCGTAAGCGTTCCGATTGGATACACAAAAAGAGTAGGGGTTCCTAAGTGGACGCAATGTTCAGTGGAATGTATTTAAGAAGAACGACCACAAGATTCGAGCACTCGAGCTGAAGTTCTTAAGGAGGAAGCTCCATCAGCAGAATCCGCAGCCAAGTCTCCGTGTGCCACCGCATAACAGCCCAAGGTGCTGTAGTGAATTTCCTCTGGGTACAGTTACCAAAGATCCAGTATAGAGATACTTCAAGGATCACAGACGTTACGTAAGGCCCTTTTATAATGAGTGAAGCTATCGCACACTAAGCAGAGACGCCACGGAAAGTCCTCCTCATTCTTCTACACCATTAACAGATTGGCGGAGATCGGCAACAAGTTATCACCACGCGGCACTACATGAAGAAGTGTCAAGGGAGTTACGACCCTTCACCTCTCAGTGTAGTAATCTATAAAAGCATGTTATGTCACAAGAATCCGGAGATTTACAACCTCGTCTCCTTGCATGTAGTGCATGCTGATACTACGTGTCAACCGACAAGAAACTGTAAGATCACAACGATTCTTATCACTAACTTAGAATCATTATAGTGCAACTAAAAAGTAAAACGCAATAAACAGCACGAAAAAATAGATGTGTTAAATATTGAATTA